TTAAAAAGGGACCAACAAAACCCTTGGTAATAATAAGTTTACAAACGCAAACAGAATAAATTGGTGAGGGTTCGAAATTATAAAGGTTTTGAATGATTGTGTACGTAAATCATTTCAATAAATGTCTAAAGGGAACCCATAAACATTTCAGACAGTTTCACCAAGTAATTACATGTCAATACCACGCCGTATGTATGTGGATACAGTCTTGTTATACTTATCACGTAACACTAGGTTACACTAACGCTAACTTAGTAAATAAGCAGTCAGTTATAATTACCTTCTCCGAAAAATCATTCATTTTTCCAAGCAGAAAATCACCTAAGAGTTACAAGCGAAATTCATCTTTATTGCCCCAACATTTATTATTAGTTTTCCATAATTCGTTTAAAATCATTTACTTTTAATCTCTTAACTGAAATCTAGCTTTAAGTAATGGATCTTAAATCATAGCTTTCTCACTAATTACGTCTAGTATGATTATTTTCATTACATTAATTTTCACAAGTTTGATTAAAGATACAAAGTAAAATTAACTTTGCTTAGAGCAGCTGCTATAGCTAATAGATATAGATATAGAATAATTTGTTTGAGTTATTAGTCAAATCTTTTATCGACGAAGACTTAGTAGGACTAAAAAACAGATTTAAAATGGTGGCAAAGGACATAACTGATGAAGGAAGTTGGGTTGATTAGGGGCAGTTGGCGCTCGCACTGTGGAAATGCCGCTTTTGTACCGGAAATGAATCGATAGACTAACAGACGTGCCTTCAACTTTTGCCTCAGATTATTCAAAGTTAGTTTTGCAGATTACGAGTGCCCCCATAAAAACTTTGACACTGAACTCTCTGTTTTTTCTGCATTCTGACATGCGTCATCAGTTCAGGCCAGTATTAATATTTAAGTGTAATTCATTGACATGTAACAGAAAGTACACGTTTTGTATAAACACATGAACGTGAGCACTCATGCGGTCCGAAATGTCCTTTTTAAGACGACGCATACAAGTAACGGAAGCTAGATAAGGTTTAATGTGGACAAGTAGGTACGATCACTATCCATAAAATATCTCGCTATACAGACGTTCCCTATTTCATGACAACAATTACATAAATCCAAAAAAGTTACCTAGGAATTACATAGACATCTAATACTCGGTATTGTAAATAAAATTTGGAGCTTTCTCGATATTTTCTCGGCTGCGAGTTTCGCTTCCCTTGTCAATTAAGCTTGTCGTTCCAAAAGAGAGCAGGCAATAAATAAGTCATCGCAGTCAAGGCACGTATTAAGTGAAATTATTTTTGAAGCGACGCGATCTTTGACAGAAATTTTAAAGTAAACAGAATAAATATTTATTTAGAATCCCTACTATGATGAAGAGGAAATGTAAACGTTATGAAAATCAAATATCCAACAATTTATTCAGTGCGCTTTTATTTCCCTTTGAACATATACAAATTGTGCTCCGCCGGAGACTGAAATGATAAAATGAAGCGAGAACAAACTATTTCCGACGTCTTCAAGTCGATAAAACAAGTGAAGTGAATAAATAAAGAATGTTTCAGTGATTTCAATTTATTGTATTGAAACGCACAATAATAAAAAATAAATCTTATTTATTTAGTTTTAAATGTCTAAATCAACCATTGCATGGTTCACAAAATACGAAGAAATATGACTTAAATCATTCTTAAATGTGCTTACAAGCCTTAAGTCAACTCGGTGCATTGCTCTTCCGTACTTGACGGCGTGCTTAATATCGGTCACATGATAAAGCGTGCTCACTTCCTCAAAGCTACGTATAAACGCACCGTTTGTTCGTTATGTCAGAGCGCGTGGTAAGCGCCGCGTCTCGCCGCACCGCCGGCCAACCGACGCGATACGGCACGTGGAACCCCACCTTTACAAGTACCCACCGACCTAACACAATGGCTGCCATCGAACCGACAAAACTTTAATAACAACCGACCATTAATTTGGTATACCTTCAAATATTTATTACCAGTGAATAAGTACCTCTAAATATTTTATATTGTTCTACTAACATTTGTATGCGTGATCAACAAGTCTAGACTAATTTCCATACAGTTTTGGAATGTCTCAAAATAGTTATGAGTTCATTAGTTTATTACATTTTAGCTGTATCGCTCTAAAGAGTTTAAGTTCGGGACTTTGGAGAGTGGCACTATATCTTGAGAAAGAGGTCCCAGCTCAGCGTACAATATTGCCTGGACCCTTGATGTAAATGGAAAATTCTTGCTTCAAATAAATTAGGCATTTGGGAGTTTCAGTGGGGAGTTGAGAACCCTAGAGTGATGAGACTAAAGACAGTTTACGAGTTTTAAAGTAAAACAAGTTTTTTTACGCTTACATTAGTAGGATGTCGCCTTTACAAATGTAAGAAACTTTTTAACGATATCGTTAAGTTTTAGGGCGCTCAGCTACGATGTTAGAGTAAGGCAGAACTAGGCACTATAAGGCAGTAGGTAAACTAGCACGACTTAACATTTTGTCTTTTCATTATCTCAAGACGAAGGATGCAGGTTCAATGAATAAATGGTAACTTATTGATACTGAAGGCCATTTTCTTAGACCTTCACTGCTAACTAATAACCTTATTATGATTTCTAATTACTAAAGGGAGCCCCATGACGCAAATTCATTTGAAGCTGAATAATATAACTTCTATTTTTAGCTAGACGAAAATCCTTCAAAACATTTTTCTGGCAAACTAAAACTTATTGTGAAAACCACAGCTCCACAATTATACGCCAACTCAACCCTTGTGTGTATCTGTTCTCAGTAAAATAAAGAAGGTTTTATTTTGACATTTGAGAGAACAAACAATATTTATTCGGAGGAACATCTCGAAAAGTTATTTCTCCGTTAAAGTACTTATTATAGCAGCTGTTATTGAATAAGCTACCTACGTAATGGGCTTAACAAACTTAGACCACCAATTCCACTTTCATAATACAACTTCGCGAACAAAATCTGTAGCCAACACTTGTTTTATACTTGTTCGAACCGAAATTACACATAAAGAAAACATTTATTTAAGAAGTATTTCCCTTCAGAAGGAGGGTAGCTTCGAAATAGATGGAGAAAATTGCGATAACAAGGTTCTAATCCTACTAATCCCAGAGGAATTTACGCGGGAAATAATGCTTTGTGGAACCGAATAAAATATGAAAAGCAATTCACAAAGTGTATTGCGGTATATGAAACAGAACAAATAGCAATAATTATTTTATGCATATTCAATTCAATGTTACGCACACATACTTCTCTCTTCTTTACAAAGGATGAATGCAATAAATAAAAAATATAATATATTCAATTTGTCAAAAAAGGCGGAGTACATAGAAAACCTTCAAGCACCGTTTATTTTGGTTGTTATTACAGTTAATAAGATGCACAAGTTCTAAAGTTAACTTCTTTGCGATATGCGACCAAATTGCACAGTTTATAACAAACTCCGACTTATACATACTAGTGTACATTTCTATTGACATAAATTATCATAATAAGAAAACATTCGTAAACCAAGCCAACAGTTTTGTATAACAATATTGCAATGTTTCGTGTAGTTCTAGCCAATCGATTTATACTATTAGCCACACAATTGTTCGCGAGGTCATAACAATAGTTTATGTAGCCACAGGATCGCTGGAACCATTATTTCCTTTAATAAATTACAGCTTTACACCTGCACGAGGTGTAAGGTTTCGCATTCCTTCAATTTCCTGGTAAATACGTGGCGTTAAAGCAAACACAGGCATTTCAAGCTTTTAACATTCCTCACTTCTCCACGCTTCATGCTGGTTAATAGTACGAATCTAGAGTAAAATGGCAAGAACACTAGTCTTACATTACATGGAACATCTAGTTCCACGGCTAAGTTAAAATAATATCATGTATCTATTTTGTTCTATGTATTTTTTGACTTCTTTCCTTGATTAGGCCTTGATTCTTGAACAATCAACAAACATCTTCTAAGACCCGGATATTCAATTAAGTGCATCGTTCCCTCAAGAAGCACGAGCGAGCTCTCTTATTACTAAGTTAGTTAAGATATTAGGAGTGAAATTGTAAGGTGATCAGGTTTTATATTTTCTAGTAAATATGAAATAGCGTCACGTAGTGTATAAGCTTCGGATAGCAGTCGATCTATCGAGGCGTGGCGGATTTACGCTGCCAGCGATAAATGATCGCTTCTACTAACTGAATGGCAAGGTTACACGACAGCACTTACGAGATCGCATAGCACAATTTCGAGCTTCCTTGGGAATATTTTCGCGTTGAAATGAGTTAAACTGGATTTAAATCAGCGGTAACCGGTTCAGTTGAGCGCAATTTCAACGTGAATATCTGTATTTAAGTGTTGGTCAAATCTTGGTTCCTGATTTGTACTAATATGCGTGTTGTAGTTACATACACTTATACTTCCTTGAATAGAGTAGAAACTCCCCATATATAATAGATGTTAATATTCCGCCGTAAAGCTCACTTCAATCAGATTTCCTGGTGATAAGCAAGGTAGTAAGTGCTTTGCTGACCTCTTGTCGGTTATTATTCCTTTAAGGATAGGGAATTTGAGGATTGAGGAGAATTTGTGGATTAAGGTTGTGGGGGGAAAGATCTGGTCTCTGGTAACCTGACTAATATGACGATACACAAGTAGTTGTAAGTTTCGCTTTACTACGATTATCTGTGAGGCCTTTCCATCAGTTATACTACAGATTCTTCCCATCGATGTTATAGTTTGAGTATTTATTGTCCTAATTTTCATTTTAATAAAATAAACAAAAAAACTAATAAGTTATTTTGGAATTATAATCAGTTTAAGCATAGCGTAGACCTATACTCGTTATTTAATATGAAATAAAACCTTCACAACGCGAAACCTCTAAACATAAAAAAACTTATTTACGATTAAATTATTTGTTTTAATAGACGTCAAATGATTTGTCATATCGGTTTTATTGGACTTAGTGATAATGCTTGGTTGCCAAATTTTAAGATTTTCGGCCCTACAAGATTTAAAACTCTTCACACCTTTAGTTCTACAGTATACTCACAAACATGCGGCTACTTGTCCGGTTAACAAAGCAAAACAAAAGAGATGTCCTGGAGCTGGTGGGTTAAAGAAAAGTGGACCTTCTAAGACCACAGGTATACCCCTCAAACGTGGGCCAGTATGTAAGCTACCTGAAGATAGAACAGGTGGTGGAAGTGGAAGTGAAAGTGGAAATGTACTAAGACGAGCCAAAATGCCAGGAAAAGTTCGCATGGGCTTCGTTCCAGAAGAATGGTTCCTTTTTTTAAAACCTATGACCGGCGTCTCGGGACCTTATATTTTAATGATCGGCCTTTCAAATTACTTAGTTAGCAAAGAAATTTTCGTAATGGAACACGAGTATTATATGGGCATTTCTCTATTTATAATGGTATATTATGGTGTCACCAAATTTGGACCTCCACTTGCTGCGTATCTTGACAAAGAAGTCGATAGTTTTACTAATGATTTAGAAAAGACGAGACAAGATGAGCTTGATTTTCATAAAACCATTATAAAAAACTCTGAAACTGCAATCTGGAGAGCAAATGGACAAAAAGACTTGATGCTGGCTAAAAAAGAAAATATTGCAATTCAATTAGAAGCTATTTATCGGGAAAGGGGAATGATAATATACCAACGAGTCAAAAGCCGCTTAGATTATCACGTGAAACGACAACGTATTGAAAAGCGCATACAACAGAAGTGGATGGCGCAATGGATTTTAACTAACGTTGAAAAATCATTCACTCCAGAATTTAAGAAACGAGCGATGCAATATGCGCTTAGTCAGTTATCGAATCTAGTAAACCAGCTGCCTCAGAAATAATTTCGTAAAATAATAATTGAAGAATACATTGTAGTCTTGTACCCACGACGCCGACGGCACAACGACGGTGTATGCGTTTGGGATTAGAGTCTGTTTTTGCAAATAATATTTTCAATTTATCGTCAAAACCATTGCTCCGATGCGGTTTTCAGTGGTGAGTTCGAGTTTTGTGTAAAGGGAATAAATCAGCAAGACGTGCTATGTTAAAAAATGCAAAAAAGATTTTCATCTTTTCATCTCCGGATCTATTAGTGAACCGGTTTTCAGTGATAAGTGGTGATTGGATTGATGAACGTTCTTTGATAGATTACAGCATTTTAAGGTATATTTTGAATTCGGTTTGCAGTGATGGGCTTAGATACTATTGGTGCATTTTCTTATATGGGTGCCACATTTGGTTTCGGAAATACATTCACGCTCCATAGAAAAAGCAAGTAATATTATGATAATCCTACCGCGATAAAAATATGGTTGAAAAGGATAAGATAGTTTAAAAACGCCTCGAACCCGAAGACCAAATTTATATTAAGAGACAATTCTTGACAAGTTTTCGTGCGCCCGTTTCAATTTCAACATAAGTTACGTATGAACATAGAAATGAGATAATCACCAAATTATTAAATACTAACTACTCTCACGCGGTTTCACCCGCTGCTCGGCTCTATTTGATCGTAGCGTGATGTTATATAGCCTACATAGCACTCAGGAACATTGTAGCTATCTATGATTGAAATAATTTTGGCAATCCGACCAGTGGTTTCAAAGATTACCCCCTACATATAAACTTACAAATTTTACCTCTTTATAAAATTAGTAGAAAACTAGTTCATACAATACGTTGCCTATTATCACATAAACTATTTAGGTCCGGGGTTTATAAAAAATGTTATATCGTTTCCCAACCAAAATTTTAATCGTCCTCTTCACGTTTTTTAAGTTCAATTTTGTTTTTTTTATTTATAAATAATAGATTTTTTATACCTGCCATAGAAATTATTGTTTTTACGAGTTAGCGCTGTGTTATTAAAATTTTACGAGTTACCTGCAATATCAGTGTGAATATTGCAAATACAACACCGACATTGTAACAGACGACTGTAGAAAAATAATGTTTTCCAATTCGATTTCTATTAATATCGGAATTATTATTGTTACTATTGATTTACCTATAATTCTCGCTCAATTAACTGAATCACGTAAGTGTTATGTTAATATGCTCGTTATGTGATTTTATTATTATAAATTATAATACGGACACGTATTGAATTTTGGATTTATTGCTAAATATTATACTTTACAAATAAAAAATTTGGAATCCGAATGGTTTTTGTAGTTATTTCTCATGCTCTTTCTTCGTTCTATTTGTGCTTATACGGATTCAGGATAATCTAAGTCCTAAAAAGCGTTATGTTATAGTAATAGGATAATGCCCAATGATGAAAAAAGTGTGACTGCACTCACTCACTTTCTAGATGAACTTCATAGCCTAGACTGGCAATTTCTTTGCAAAATGCAGCCAAATGGTTACGACTGCAGTAATGCTAATGATTCACTACAATACAGGTAAATATTTTTTTATATGTACATAAAATATCTATGTATACATATCTTATTATCTTCCTATGAAACATGCAATGAAAACTAGATATTTTCTATATGCTAAGCCCTGGGGTTCTCTAAAAATAAATAATTAAGTTTGTAACATGTTCATAAATAACGTTTACTCAAGTCTTTCCAAGGTAAATAAAGGAAAAAAATATGCTGCAAATTGCATGTTTTCAAAACGTTAGGTACCTAATGTAACAATTTAGGGACTACAGAAAATGTCCTTCCTTGAAATTATGTCTTTGATCTTCCCTGGTTTTATTATATATTGTTTGTTTTTACGTTTATTTTATTTTGATTTGTCATTTTTTGTTATTAAAGATTTTATTACGACGTCCTAATGAACGCTTGCAAAACGTACCAGTATGGTCTTTGTGACTTGAATATGAACTCATTTCACACACTTCGGGAATGTGCCGACACGTGTGACGGTAAGTTAATACTAATATATGTATACATGTAACAGGCAAATGAGCAAACGGATCATGGTAAGCAATTAGGTCCACCCGTGGAAACCCCTATAACTGAAGAAGTGTTGGTGGCCTTTTTAAGAATTTGGCGAAGAATTTCTTATGGCGAAACAGTAGACATCTTTTTTTGTTTTGATACCGAAAATGTAGTGTAATTTATATATAAAATTTGGTTTCCATAGACCAGAGAAAACTACCAGTAGACTTTTTATGAACAAAACAATGCAAACTTCAAGCTAATGAACATATTTAAACCACATAGTGAAATTAAGTGTATAGCAAAAGTGTTTTGATTTCATAATTATATTTAATCACTCAATCCCTCAACTTCTGTCGTGAAAATATTGTTAAGTAAGAAACTTATAAAAAGTTTTTTTTTTTTTGTTTATAATTGTCAATTTTATTGTAGTGCTTGGGCGTCAATTGCTGTCTAAAGATGATCAGGTAAAACTATCTGACGATACTATATGTCGTTTGCAACATGACTTTGGAAGCTGCGAGAATTACTATCCAATGTAAGTTCAGGGTGCAATTAGATACGTTTTTCATGTGATAGGTCATAGGTTAGCAATCTTCCCTCCCATATAAACCCACAACACTTAAAGAGTTACGAGTACAATGCTAGCCTTTTGGGGATCAGCATTTTAAAGATTTAGGAATTAGGGAGGCGTCTGCCACGCCTCCACGCTTAGGACAAGGATTAGGCCTCCGGTAACATCTGGCACTTACACGGCGAAAGACAACGCTGTTATTGTTATTTTTGCTGCTGCCACTGCAAGACTGTAGTACTACTCTGGTCGAGCCATTCCTGTCGAAGCAGGCTCTCCCACGCCTAATGCTTATTTCAAGGCCAGATTATTAAAAGCATAAATGCCAATATTACTTGATAAACGACTTTCTGCTGATATTCGGGAGATTAAATTAGAAATGTTACGAAACAACCCTATAGTCTTTGTAAAACAATATTATAGAATTTTTTGTATCTTATAGCTTGTAGAACAATCGCTTTAAGCCACCAGAGCACCATTTTTAATGTTGTTTAAGGCTACATGGTAAGCATATTAGCCAATGATTTACAAATTCCTATCCCAAGTCTGGTAAACCCTGGCCTCTGTATGTCATATGAATGTATTAAAACAAGAATATTTATTACGTAGAATACAATTGTATGTGATTTTGTTGTGCTTTTACCTACAGGTGGTACTACGATGTAACAGAGCGCACTTGCAAGAGTTTCTCTTACAGTGGATGCGGAGGCAACGAAAATAGATTTCCAACCTCCGGCCATTGCAACACTAGATGTCAGCCCGCTGTCGGCGAATATAAAAGAATAAAGACACTGCTAGACTAAATTCATTCATAATTTGATTGGCAATACGCTATTCGTTAGAGTCGGACGTTGTTTATTAACTAACTAAGAAGATGATTAAGTGCTATCAACAGTTTTAGTTACGAATTCTTATCGTGAAAGAAAATCTTAACGAAAAGGAAAGCAATTCTTTGAAAAGTGAGAGAATTATTGCGGTTAACAATGATTGACCTCAAAGAACCGCTTGGCCAGTCTTCGTTGCACCGAGTCACGATTCAATGAAAGTATAATTTGAACCCCATACAACAGACGCAGCTACACTGTTGTAGCTGACAGACAGATCAACTCCAAAAACGATATGCATCTCGAACAGCGCCATGTTATTATTATTTTATAGTATCAAAACGATTTCTTACAAAGATTTTATGAAGTCATCTTTATCATAACAATCGTCTGATAAATGCAAATAAATAATAATAAATTCCTAAATAAACCTTAGAAAGATCTTGAGGATAATCAATTAACATTTTGGTTTGATATGTCAGTTAACAAAAAATCCTAAAGAAAAAAGAACATTTTTACTTGTATTATAATTTCAAAAATAAATCTTCTTATATAAATTACTGTCACTGTGTTCTGTAGGAAGTGTTGTTAAATCCCGTTAGGGTTACAACTGAAGGGGGGGCTGGACGCAGGCGTCTCAGGCTTGGAGGATCGAGAGCAAGGTCGTTGTAACGTGCGAGGCGCTGGCGCAAGCGGCACCCGCTCAGCTGCGGCTGCACGCCAGCTTCCTACAATAATTACATTGGGCCATCGCCCTCAATTAGAGACGCTCACGTTCGAATGACTAGCTCCGAGCGTTCCGGCGAACCGACTGAGTTCGCCTACACCCCGTCGCTTAATGCTAGTGCGTGCACGTGTACTCACAAAACCGGTCCGGCCAGCGGGCGGACCCGGTCGGAATCTTGAGAAGAGGCGCATTCGGACCTAATAAGTATGTGGACTTGCCTCTGATGACTAAGCATGCTGTTATATCCGATTTAATGCAGCCACATATTCCAGTCTCGGCATTTTCATTGAAGAAAAGATAAAAAGCTGTCGATGTTGTTTGCAAGTGCAAGCAAAGTTGTACCTCAACCAAGTTCTAACATAAATTGGTAAAAAAATAGTTATCTATCAAGTTCATGGAAGACAATTGTTTGAAAACAAAAGTAAGTAGGCACATGAGCGTAATAGCTTTTTTTGTACTACATTTAGTTAACTCTAAATCATTGTGGGATTGCTCGTTTCTATTTTTGTTTATATCCCTGTCTCTTTTTAAATAAGGAGTACCTACTACGTGCTTATAAAATAATAATGTCCGCCCTAATATTAAGTACAAAAACTATTGATAAATATATCGATATCAAGAAGAGAAAAGTTATTTACGTAAACAGACAACACCAGACAAAGCACCTTATGTTAAGTCACTACTGATTGGGCCACTAAACACAAATCTTTGTATGTTAATGGAAGATGAGTTAACCTTACTTTATATACGTTTCATGAGTCAGGAGTGCTAAGTAATCGGGTTAGTGGTAATCTGGGGGCGAGAAAAAAGCCTGACATAGCGACTA